AAAAGAATTTTTACAATCTTTGACTACTAAAGAAAAAAACAAACAATTTGGAATAGTTTACTTCTGGGAGAATTCCTTTTAAGCTCTTTGACGGGTCTCAGGAACATCACAGGCCCAAATAGCTAACCTGAGATTTGCTTACTCTTAGTATTGAAAACTGAAGGTAAGCTATTACTCAGCTTAACTGTTGTTGACTGGTTATTGGTACAAAGGTGCCATATGACTATTATATACGGCAGTTTGAGGTTGTAGTGGTACATGTACCATCAAGTGGTGACAAGGGCGGGTACATACTTCAAGCAGCTATTGTACCTCTAGTCTTTGAAGTGTGTTTTTCATTATTGCTGGGAGTTTCTTACCTAGTGTTGGTTTGCAATATTATTCAAAGACGGTGGAGAAAAAAGGTGCTTGAAACAACAATTGGTGGTAACCCTACAGCTCCAACTGAAGAGCGGGAATGGATAACCCTATAGCCCCTAATTCTGCCACAATAATTGTGTTTTCATGCACACTTCAAGGGAAAAGGGGTAATAAGCGAAATTTAAAGATGTGCGTATTTGGCGTGTGATATACAGGAATCATTTGTACTAAACATTTATATATAGTTTAAATGTCCACGATTTCACTGACCAAAGCTGGACACATTTTACAGAGTAACAAGCATAGAAAAAAAATGTAAAATTTAGATTGAAATATCTTTTAAAAATGTTATATTTAAGTCCGCTTATCTTTAAAATTACTAAGACATAGTAACGCTTCCCAAAAATAAGCAACACTTATCAGACAATAGGGGATATTTAAATGCAATTTTAAGTACAAGTGCATATCAAAATTTCAGTAGGATGGAAGAATTGCTTTCGCTCTCAGTAGAATGGGACCGAAATTCATCCATTTAAAAATATAAATCAGTAAATAAAATTAAATTGCCAAAAGAATGGAATGACTGTATCTTTTTTTTTAATCTCAATGCTACATGCGAGGGTCGAACCAAAAAGAACAAGGTACGGTTTCAATACATATCTGGCCCTGTATTTTTCTGAAATTTAAAAGTGATGTAAGAAATTTAAATTCATCCTTTCTGAATTATTGAAATTCCATGCAGTAAGAACATACAAATCGTTTTTCCAATATGACCTCCTAAATGCTAATTGTGACGTCATGAACATGTGCATTTTCCCGAATTTTCTTTAAATGTTGCAGAAAACATCAATTTTCAGTGGAATTTTCTTTCAGAAAACATACAGCGCATGCATCGCCCACAATGATTTTGAGATATGTGATTTTTCGAAGCATTTTACAAAATATATCTAAAAATTGAAGTGGGCGAGGGCTGCGGACACTATTTTCTAAAGGAAATTAAGCACAGAAATGAGTCATTTTAAGGCTTTTCTGCATAAAACTTAGAAATGTACCAAATTAATGACCTCATATTTCCAGAATGTTCCTCTTTTATGCCATATTCTTTATTGATTTATCATATTCATCTACTCAACTCATGTTATAGCCAATTTCTTAACTTTTTAAGACCATGGCATTTTTAGGGCACAATAAAGCCCAAACCGTACCTTCCTCTTTTCTTTTCCATTGCACTGGTCGGGTAATGCATCTTCTAAGCCACCATCGCTACACACAATGTGGCTTTTAAAAGGACAATGAAGCACCGCAGTTACACATTGGAATTTTGTGGGGAAAAGTTCATTTTTTGTAGTCCTGGTGTCTTCTCTCCATTTTTTAACAAATGTTTGTTTCTTGGAATTAAAATACACACAAATAATGATTCAAATTCATAGGGAGATGACCCAGAGATAGAAAATTTTTAGAAAGACGTGTTTAAAAATTGTAACATTTGGTACCAAATTTCTCATCTAGCCACTTTTCAAGTTATCTTTTAGCAAATCAAAACAAAACATCAAGAAAATATTTCCCTTTCCTATTTCACAGGAACCCGATACATCATAAGAATGTTAAAATTTCATGTGACAGATCAATGAAATTTTCACTTTTCAAGTGCACCCAGATTCCTGCCGAATACCAATCAAAAGCACCCTTGTTCTTTCTGGGAAAATGAACATGAGAAAGAATAGAGTTTCTATCAGTGTATTTCCCCTTCAAGTATTTGTCTTAATAAGTAAATAACTGTTGCATTGATTCTTTAAGTATTAATTATTAATTGACAAAAAATATTACACTTGAGTACTCTCAGTCCTTTGATGAATTTCTTAGTGGCTGTTGTTATTGGCTGCTAACTTCAATCTTGTACTTTGACTGGATGCTATATGCATCCGACTTTATAGTACATTGATTTGTCAGCATGGTATAGCTTCTATACTACATATTATATCAAGTGGGTTGATGATATAAAGAATAGACTACATAATATATAAAGTGGACTTAATGATATAAAGAATAGACTACACAAGTAGAGCTTTTTCAAAAAGCTTACCGTCTTCAGCAAAAACCTTAAAAAGTAAACTGACCTAAACCTATCAGGCCGTATAATTCTTGAAAATTTCTTGGCTTTGTATATTCTTCATTGTATTTTTTTTCTGACATAACCCCTACATGTATCGATTTGACACTATGATGCATATTTTGTAACCTTAAGACAGCTGTGGCGTTCCATATGTTAGGGCCGAGATGTCAAGCGTGACGGGCCGAGGTGTCGTTGGGCCGAGATGTCTGTCTACCGAGGCAACACATGTGCCATATCTGAAAAGAATCTGAACCTAAAAATATCATTTATGGTTAAACACTTGAGTAAATTACTTCAACATACCTCCTCAATGTCCATATAAGGTCCGGCTCCCTCAGGGAACATTTCATCAGCGACAATAGCAGCTGGTTTCATCTTTGGTTTGCAAAATGAAACTGAAAGGGAAAAATTTCACAATGCGAACAGGGTAAATCTAGTGACCCACAATCTGCCCATTAAACTATTCAACTACAATATTTCTCCAAATTTATGACAATGTAATCACGATTTTCAATCATTTACATTTTATTCACATTGCAAACTATTCGCTTCATTAAATAAATTACTCAAGGATATTTTGAAAACGACATACCTATATTTACACACATTCCATTCACGTGACTTGCTCATATGATTGAACACCGAGGACGGAAGGATCGTTTGTTCTAGGTGAGTATTGCCTCTTTTCTTGGCAATTTTATCGTAGAAACGAATTATATTAAAGTCTAATATCGTGAATTTGAACATCCATATAAAGTCTTTTATAACTTTGTTGCCATTATTTTAGCATCCCCAGGAACAGCGACTCGTCACGAGGGTACCTGTCAGAGGCTAGATTAAGTCACAAGATAAAAAATCAAAATGAAGGCGAACTTCTTCGGAGCGGTGATTCTGTGTGGTATTTATGTATTTTTTAATCATAAAGACAATAACAATTATTGATTCCATAGAAATTACAGGACATATTAATTGTTTAATGCATGCTACTAATTTTAAAATATAATATGTAAATCTATGTAGTTTTGATTTCCAGGGAACGCTTATATTCACGCATTATTCAATGCATTAGGCCATTTCATTATCATGTTGCGTAGTGGTGTTAGATCTAGCCCTACAAATAATATCTTTTGTCTTCAGCACTGAGATTTGTATCTAATGGGGCTTATACACAGGGGCTTGCTCCCGGCGTATAATAATTATTTATTTAAAAAAATCATATACGGTAATACTTAAACAACACAAGGGAGGATGCCATTTTGGACCCCTTCCTCGCTTCAATCTCAGTTTTCATTATATTTTCCCGTATTTTACTCACTCACCGCCTCGGATCTGTCAAGTAATGATTCTTCTAGGACATAATGCTTAAATTTTCCCCTTGGAGCCTCTACAATACACATTTCAGACTAATAATAATCCAAACTTGCTCTTTAGGACAGTTAATTGATAGGGACAGAAAACGAAAGTAACCTCGGCGTTTTACATTCGAATACAGAATTAGAACGCGGTTTTTTCAAATTTATAATTAGCAGCTGTGTGAACTAGTAGAAAAACCCCGAGATTTTCAAATGTGTTTTCGTTTTCTGTCCCTATCAATTAACTGTCCTAAAGAGCGAGTTTGGATTATTATTAGTCTGAAATGTGTATTGTAGAGGCTCCAAGGGGAAAATTTAAGCATTATGTCCTAGAAGAATCATTACTTGACAGATCCGCAGTGGTGAGTCAGTAATATACGGGAAAATGTAACGAAAACAGAGATTGAAGCGAGGAAGGGGTCCAAAATGGCGGCTTCCCTTGTGTTGTTTAAGTATTACCGTATATGATTTTTTTTAATAAATAATTATTACATGGCGGGAGCAAGCCCCTGTGGCTTATAGGAGGTGTGTGAGATATTTAGCTATACTTTAGATTTGTATGTCTGTATACATTTCTAAGTAGTTAGAATAATCTAACTTGTCTCGGGACAAGCCCTCACCACAGTTAGAATACGTCCCATATACTTGCAATGTAGCAAATCGGAGTGGATCCACTCCGAAATGATTTTGAAGAATACAAAAGGAGTTGCACTGAAAATAACTACCAAATTAATCATAACAAACCTTTTTGAGATTGTATATGCCTTTTAACCTAAAAAACAATCCATTTAAATACGAAAATTCAACTCATTTTCTCAACATTTTTTCCTCGCTTCAAATTTAACACCATGTTGACATTCGGAACTCTCTGGATTGTTCATAGAAAATGCACAGAGTTTGAGTTATCGCCCGTGTTTATTTTGCAACATTGCCAATACACTGAACAAATTCTATCGTTAAACCGGGTCCGTAGGACAATGTCATTTTAACGATAGAGCGTTCTATCTAATTTCTAAGTATTAAGAAGGAGTCTTCTGGAACAGTTCCTTTACATGTAATTCGAACCTGTGTAAACTCATGAAACAGTCATCAATCACGCTGTATGTAGTATACTGGTAGCAGGGATAGACATTAACTTTTAGATTCACTTGTCCTTCGGGCAAGTGATCTCAGACTTAGACTTGTCCGCATGCAAAACTTGGTTGCCCAAAATTAGGGAAGAAAAATATTATTTATTACTGTAAACTGAGAAGAAAAAATGTGACCAAATACAATACTGTCAACTTGGCAAGTTGAGGCACTGTTGAGCTACATAAAAAAGTAATTTCGATGCTTCGTTTGTACATGTGTATCACTGTCCTTGTCAATTTAATATGTTAACACACTGCCATGCAGCATTATCCCTCCCTTTTCTTTTAATAAACTTCATATTTTAAAAAAATAATTTCTGTAGAATCCTTTTGTGAAGCGGGATTTTCAGAGATAACAAGCAACAGTAAAGGAAGACAATTGCTATGAAACATACATATCTGGATTGGGATACATCGTGTTACTTATATTCTGTGAATGAATTTCCTAATTAGAAGTTAACAAATTTATTATAAGTAGAGCGTATTTATCACAAAAGAAAACAGAATAATGAACCCGATTTTTAAATGGTCCGTATATTCTAGAAACGCTTCCAAGGATTTCCTAATGTAAATCAATGTCAGTCAGGTATTTGGCGGAAATCAAGTATTCAATTTATTGTTTTATTTATAAATTAATGTGAACTGACTAAATATGTACATTTCTATGAGAAAAATTCACTTGCCCCATCGGACAATTACGTTGACAGTTTCACTTGCCTGAAATGAGGATTTACTTGTCCCGGGCAATCGGACAACCGTTGATGTCGATCCCTGGGTAGATTCATTCAATTAGGTGTTCATTGTCATATTATCATTGGGGGTAGATTAAGAAGGAATCTTCTGGAACAGTTCCTTTACATAATGCTAACCTGTGTAAACTCATGAAACAGTCATTAATCATGCTGTATGTAGTATACTGGTAGATTCATTCAATTTGGTATTCAAGTCATGATCATGGGGGGGGGGGGGGGTAGATTGATGGGATATACAGGGATACAAAGCTTCTGAGATCTATTTCCATGTTAGTTCACATGAGTTGTGTAGTTCTTAGTCTAATGGTCATGTAGAATTGTATACTTTATCTACATCAATAAGCTACAATTATATATAAGAATTTGTGTATTAAGTCTATTTCATGAAATGATTATGTGTGTGTGTGAGGGTGTGTGTGTGTCAGTGTGTTTGTAAGACCCCGATACTCACTACACGTACTAGGTAACACACCAGCAAGTCACTACATTTTGAAGAGTCACCACTTACACTCATGTAGTGAGTTTTCTAAAGTGTTGAAAACGGAATTTCGCACCGTATATTACCCAAAAAATACAAAATTGTTCATAGTGTGAGTTTCCGGTTTGAACGTGATTTTTTCCACACACATTTTCATGCTGCACCATGGCGTTTACACACTTTCCCCTGATGGATTTTTTGCGCATGCGCACGAGTAACTTCCGTGAAAATGGACATCAACAGTAAAAGTAAGTTATTAACAACATATTTTGACAATTTTTACACAGTACAAAATCCGAATTAACTGTTTTTGACATGTTTTATTATTATTTAGTCGCTTAAAGACCAGAGTACTGATAAAAAAAATTATAACATGATTTTAACAGATTATTTTGTTAGAAATGACATTCAGTTAAGGATGTGAATAAAGTTGCACTTCTTCTAAGGATATTTTCTCTATTAATTGAAATAATTAACTTTAAAATAACGTACCGTGTTTAATGAAATTATTATTTTAAACTTTAAAATCAGTTTTATATGTAACATAACATTTATTAATATTGACTGAATTTCCTCGAAACTCCGACATTTTAAAGTAGTTTGTCAAAGGCAATGCGATTGCAAACAGATAAATTAATAAATTATAGGCCCTAAGTTTGTCTTTTGTGCACTTAACATTAGGGTATTGAAAAAAGTCATTGTGAGTTACTGGTTGTAAAAGTAGAATGAGGGATAATCCGAATTTCCTGATCAAGAATGATAAAAGTGGACTTACCTTTTCTTAAAAAAATTGTTTAGTAAATAAACATATGTAAATATTTTAGTTAAAACAAGTGAATTTGTTTTAGTGTTCTTTTATCCGTTTGTTTGGGTTTTTTTTAAGTGTTTTTTTTATCTGTTTTAAACAATTCATTTTAAATAATGTTGCCTTATCTAATTAGATTATCTCATCATCTCTAATGAAATTATTTCATCATATAATCTCACATTTTATATACCAGTAATTTGACTTTACCAGAACTTCCTGAAAGTTAAGTTTATTTGAAAGAATGAGTTTGATACAATTGCACCCATAAGCAATTATGGATCTTTTTCACGCCAGCGCATACTATGAAACAGAAGCTCGGTATATACTGTCATCCAAAGGACCTGTCCCCATGTCCCGCAATGAGATTCGAATCCGCAGTGTAAGCTGCGACTCAAGAGCAAATGCTATAACCACTGCGCATAGTATTAGTAATTAAAAAAGATAAATGTGAGTTAAATGGAAAGAATTTTCAAGCTTTCTTTATGCAAAAGGACGGGAGCAAAATAAATCAACATTTTTAGACTAACATTTTGGTTGGCTTTCAGTTTTCAGATTATTTCTTCTGCTGTAGGGTCAGTGCTGTGTTTTAGTAACTGAGATTCTTTAAATGTGATCATATTTACATGTAAAATTTGTTGAATCAATTTCATTTTCATTTATTAATTTTTTTCCCTTATCTATTTATTCATTTTGCCATTCAATTGAATAGTTTTAATTTTATGACCAATAATGTGTTTTTCTATTTTTAACCTAATTCTTATCAATTAATTTTTCATTTGAACTGCCACCAGACAGGTTGTAACACTCCAATTTTACACTGTTGTAAAAACTGAGCAAACTTGACTTAAACATGAGCTCTATTTGTTAAAATCTGTTAACCTTTACATGATTTAATATATTATAACTACCGTAATGGTTGAGATTCAGTATCTCAAACACTGCTATCTAGAATACCATGGATATGTCAGAGTGATTTTGTGGTCCAACCATATATTATTTAAGTATATTATACTTTCATGTAACTTAGTTGAATCTGATTCGTCGAGAAACATTTGTTAAAAAACACTATTACCCACTGAATGATGAAGTCATGCCCTCCGGCATAGCAACAGTCAACAATGCTTGATGACGGGTGATATTCCAAAAATAGTGACTGCGCAGAATTTATGCGCGCAAGGTTCACTTTTATATGTATTCGCATAAAACATTCAGCATAATATAATAAATATTGCAGCCTCGGTTGACAACGGTTTTCTTGGGGTGAAAATTTTCAATGTTACACTCAACTTCATGCAATATTTATATAATTTAACCCTCGATATCCTGAATCCTTGGGAATCTTGAAGTTCTTTCTCAGTAATATAAAGTTTGAGATTGTATTATATAAATACTGCATGTAGTTGAGTGTAACCATGGTAACATTGAAAATTTTCAGCCTTAGAAAACCATTGTCAACTGATGCACAGCCGAGGTTGACAATGGTTTTCTTGGGGTGAAAATTTTCAATGTTACCCTCAACTGCAACTACATGAAGTATTTTTAATATCATACTGAATGTTTTATACAAATACACATTACAGTGAGTCGCCCGTGTGGCGCAGTGGTTAGAGCGTCTGCTCTAGAATCACGAAGTAAGGAGTTGATCCTTACGTCACGGGATCGAATCCCACTGTGGGACGTGGAGACCGGTCCTTCAGATGAGACCGTATAAACCGAGGTCCCGTGTCGCAGTAGGTGCTGGCACGAAAAAGATCCCTCACTGCTCAATGGCCGTAAGTGCCGAGTATAGGACAAAATTTGCAGCTCTCCACCGGCAAGTGGTGGCGTCTCCATATGAGTGAAAAATTCTCGAGAGGGACATTAAACAACATACAAACAAACAAACACATTACAGTGAACCTTGCGTGCATAAATTCTGCAGAGTCAATAGTTTTTTGGAATATCACCTGTAGTCAAGCAATGTCGACTGTTGCTATCCTGGAGGGTGTGGCTTCATTATTCAGCGGGTAATAGTGTTTTTAACAAATGTTTCTTGACGAATCAGATTCAACTAATTTAAATGAAAGTATAATATTAAATATTATGACTTAGACTGCCTTTAATCTATCTAAGAGTACTACAATAAGTAAATGTTTGGGTTTTTAATACATATAATACAATACAGAACAATGTGTTTGGATATAGCAAAGAGACAATCTCATTTATGCAATATGTTGTAAAAATGACAATTTTAAAAAAATATCTTGGAGTGTGTGTGTGGGGGGGGAGGGGTCCTGAATCTGCCACTGTTAATGTACCTGAAAGTGGTCAATAAATCACAACTTACTTAGGGAAGTCATTGATTACTAGTCTGATAATTAGTATGGGTTAGGAATTAACAAGACATATAGTATAGATTGAAATAGTAATACCTGCTTAACTGAGTTAGCAAAATAACAATGAAACTCCAAAAATTTTAAATACAGTCAAACCTTGATATCTGAGGATTCAAGATATCCAGGGCAAAATACCCAAAGAATAAAGGTTTGGGACTTCAAAATCCCTTCAACATATCCATGATATTCAATATATCAGTGTCATGGATACTGAAGTTCAACTTAAGTAATTATTGCTTGAAAACTTGATATGTTTATATACATATACACTATGCATATATGCATATGCACTATATGTTTGCACTATATATATACACAAACTAATTCTCATTAATTAGGAAACAGCAATTTGTTGTTATACAGATATCATGATTTAACGAGTTTGGTGATGAATTGAATTCGCACATTTTAGGGTAAATACAATGTACAGAGCTACAGTTTATTAGACTTTTTAATAAGATTTCTTGTCGCCTGCATGAAGCAGTGGTTAGGGTGTCTGCTCTAGAGTCGCGGAGTAAGGAGTCGATCCTTACGTCGCAGGTTCGAATCCCACTGCGGGTCGTGGAGACCGGTCCTTCCGATGAGACTGTATAAACCGAGGTCCCTTGTCACAGTAAGTGCTGGCTCGAAAAATATCCCTCACTGGCCCTGAGTGCCGAGTATAGGTCAACATTTGTAGCCTTACACCAGCAAGTGGTAGCATCTCTATATGAATGAAAAATTCTCAAGAGGGACATTAAACAACAAACAATCAATCGATCAACAAGATTTATTAACTGGAATGAAATCTGTAAGACATCAGGCCTAAGGAAAAAACATGCTTGTATACATGTACCATTACTTGCTAATAAAAAATAGGGTTGATAGGTAAAATTTTGTTTTTATTTTGTTTAAATTTTTTTATAAAGGCATAAACATTGCAATTCATTTTTCTTAAAAACAATTTGAAATTTTTGCAGAAAGATTGGAAATGACAAGGGTTAAAAACATGAAGAATGCTGAAAAAAAGATTTTAGGGAGTGCCAACTCACTTCGACATACATGTATCCCTGGTATTTGAGATATCGGTATTCTAGATAACAACCTTCATTAAAAGAAATTAAAATCTATAACAGGACATGAATGCCTTACCCAGGATAAATTTTGATGAAACAAGGAAAAAAGTATCAGGCTTCTATGGTTCAAAATCAGAGTAAAGAGGAATGATGAGGTCAAGGTCAAAGGAAACTTTACAAAGGTTTGAAATATTATGACACAGTTGAATAACTCTCACCAATTTTGTGTTATTGTATGTTTGATAGAAATATTATGAATACTTTCTTTAAAAAAAAGAGCTGTAACTAAAATAAATAGTAAGATTAATGATTAACGAAAGGAACAGGTCATAATTTGGACACAGTTGAAATGTTATCACCAATATGTGTCAGTGCAAGTGCATAGATAAAAATAAATTAAAAGATTTTTATAAGACTAAGCTACAAAATAAGGAATAGCGAGGTCAAGGTCAAAGGGAAGATCAAGATAAAAAAAATTGACATAGTTTATCAGTTCTCAGATATGTATATAGATGAAAATATCTTAAATAATTTCTTTGAAATTGAGCTAAATGCAGATTGAAATAGTTGGGTCAATATCATAGGGGTCACAATAAAAAATTCAGGACACATTTGAATACTTCTTACCAACATGTGATAGTACACTGTATGTGTATTTGGATTAAAAAAAATTCTTGAACAGTTCCTTTAAAACTGAACAAAATGCAAAATGAAAAAGCTAAGTCAAGGTAAAAAAAAAAATGGACACATTTGAATAGTTCTCACAATATATCATTGTGTGAATTTAGATAAAGATATCTTGAATACTAAGTATTTCCTTTGAAAATCAGCTGAATGTTAAATTCAAGTGTAGTAAAGTCAATATAATAGGGAAAGTCAGACTTTCAGAGGATTGTTGGAAACATGCATTAAATAATAATTATTTCTGATTTAATTGTAATATTATTTTTTTTAGTTTTGAGGGTAGGGGAATCATATTCAACATTTTCTATTATATTGTCAATTTCTATCAGAGCCTTCCTATTTGTGGATTTTTTTATGCACTGTACAGCAAATACCTGACCATCCTTAGATTTATTTACAACTTTTATGAGCCTATATAGCAGGCAACACATGTTTTTTCTTGGAACACTTTAGATAAACATACGTATGTACAAGTAAATATTTTTTGGAAAGAATTTTCAGCATGATGTCATATGAACCACAGAAAGCATACAAAATAATGCAACATCCGCTTAATAAGTATATTTGGCTTCGTATTCTTAATTACTAGGATAATTTGAATTGCAATATCAATTACATTCAAGTTTCCACAAATTTATAGTCCATGAATAAGAGACTAGGCAATATTATTCACCAGAGTGGGACCAGTGCATAAACATAGATTTATAAAGTCTTAAATAAATTGGTCCCTTACCTTCCACTGCAGTGAAAGAATATATTTCCCGTCCTCATTTTGTATGAAAATTAAATCAAAGTAAATTAAAGTTCATAAATACACCTGTACATATATACAATATAATATGACCTCTAAATTTCTCCTTCATCAGCCATGTTGAGGATGTGGTATAGATGGCTACTACTTGAAGGGTACAGACTCCATTCAGTTGCAAGATATTTGGTGATTTCCTTTTCTAAATGAAATATTTGGGAATTTTAAATGTGCATGATTTTGGATATCATGCAACCTGAAAATGTTTGAAAGTTGTATAAAATCTTACTTGACCATGACATTTTTTATTTCTAAGGAAATATGACATGGATTGTTTTTCTTGTAATTCTAGCATGGATATATTCACTGCAATTCAATCAAGGGTGTAAAGAGATTTTCCTCTGGTAAATTGTATTCTATACATCCTCAGAGGCTGAAGCAGCAAGCTAACTTGTAATACAAGATTTGATTGTATAGCAAGCCAGCTGGTGTAATTTAGTATGTACTATGTACAGCTTGAGCCGAAGGTAAAATATTGTGATGTCACAAGGCATAGTTAAAAAGCACTGGGGCCTTCTGCACACATGTATGGAATACAACACAGAGTAAATCCCCTACACCCTTGATTCAGCCTCAAGGTGTATGGAATACAATCCAAGGTAAATCCCTGTACACTCTTGACTAAAAGTATATTATATGCTTCTAACATATTGTCTAAATCTTAAATGTAGCATACTTTCTAAATCTAAATTGATTATTTAATTTCCTGATAATTTGATTGAATTGATTAATTTTACAGTTTTGCACTGAAGGCCAGGTCTAAATTGTCCAAAAACTAGGAGGAACCTGTGATTTGAGGGTTTATTTCATGGTTTTGAATTACTATTCATGAGTCTTTTCTCATTTCATAATAAAATCAGGGACCTTTACTAGGAGGGGGTTCGGGGGGGGGGGGGGGGGGGGGGGGCCAAATACCCTTTTATAACCAAAATTATTCGTATAAAGATTAAGAAATTTTATTTTGTTGTTGCTAACTATTGCATTTATAATTTGTGTCCCAGGCCCTTAAGCTTTAGACACCCTTCTGGATCCGCCACTGCCCTACAGTTACTGAGTTATATAGATTATGTATGTAGGGTCTTTTGTTGTTAAAATGACTTGTCCCACCCTAAAATGGCCAAAATAAGTACCTTTGCCATCATACTTTGCAACTGTCCCACTCTAAAAGTCATAAATATTGCCTGCATATTACAAGATTTTCATTTTTCAGAAATGTGCTGGTTACCGGAAGTTCACAAGAACCAGTTAAGCGAAGGTAACACCGTACAACATGAACATGAACTGATCACTGAGACTGCATTGCGTATGAAAGACAGTTTTGTAAGTATTTGTAAGCTTTAAAGTATAAAAATCTTCTCTTGTTACTTTTGAAGATGGAAATTTAGAAGATGCTTGAAGTTCATCGTATGTACTGTGAACTTTGGAAAGTTGTCACTTAGTTGAGAAAATTCGAACTAGGTCAGTTGTATATGTCAATTTTTCGGAACGATAATCTTAATAGTGCCCGTTTTATTCATTTTTTATACACGTACAATGAACATAGTTGGGCCTGCATTACAGTCTATCCTTGTTTGGGATTGGGAAACACAGAAAAGTTACAGTGTCTGTTTAAGGGTTTTTGGTCAACTCGTATGATCGTATCTAGGTCAGATCTTCTCCTACAAGTAAGAGCCTCGGTTAAACGTCCCTACGCTCCTTATATACCTCGGAGCGCCAAGTCAAAAGTATATCGCCGTGAACTTCTAGCATGTTGAGTAGATCAGATCAAACCCAATAGGTCAACTCATATTAATGAAACGACAAAATTCGTAACCAGGAGAATTGTTACAAGCTGACTCCCCTATATAAATTGATGACAACTCGTAACTTAACAATATTAACAACTTATTACCCCTTTTGAGGTCAACATGGTGAAATACGGACCCAAGACTTGGTCTATGAGGTGAACTGACCTGACCATAGATAGAATGTTCTATCGTTAAAATGATAAATGTCCTACGGACCCTGTTTAATGATAGAATGCATTCCGTGTATTGTCTATGTAGCAAAGAAAATACGGGAGATAACTCTAACTTAGTGCATTTACTATGAAAAATCCCGAGAGTTCTGAATGTCAACATGGTGTGTAAATTTGAAACGAGTAAAAAATGTTGGTGAAAAAGTGTTGAATTCTTCCATTGTATGGATTAAATTTTTAGATAAAAGGTATGTACAGTCTCAAAAAGGTTTGTTATGATTAATTTGACTGTTATTTTCAATGCAACTTCATTAATTTTCTCCAAAATCATTTCGGAGCGATTCTGCAATTTTCTGCTATATTACTGGTATAGGGGAGGCATTCTAACTGTAGTGAGGGCCTGTCCCAAGACACAGTTAGATTATTCTAATCAACCTGACCAAGGCCACATAGAGGCCGAGGTCAGGTCTGGTTAGCAAGTCGGTCATGTCAAGGGTCCTTCTTTTCACCATGTGGAACTCATATGAGGTATCAATTGTTTTATTATACCGATAAGAAAATTATATATTATACACTTGAGTGCATGATATTGCATTACATTACCAATGTTTTTTGAATGGGATCTTGATTCGCTAGTGAAGTTGTTCATGCTGACTTTTGCAAGTCATGTAAGTTTTTGCATAATGATTTACTGATTAAAACAATTTTTGATTGACAGTAACATGCATTAAATTGTTATGCCCTGTTCACACGGAGAGTTTAATTCACAGTAAATTAATGCGAAGTAAATAATGTGAATTAAAATAATGCGAATTAAATTGTGTTCACACGACAGCTAATGCGAAGTAAACTAATGGGAATTAAAATTTTATTACTACAGTAAGGCTATTCAGTAAGGCTATTATGACGTCATTTTCAAATCACGTCACCTTATGCGCAGCAAACCCATATTACATTCTGTCATAGTGTCTATGCACATTTCAGTGATTAACATAATTTTTCTTTGTTTTCCACTAAAAAATAGCATAAGTATCCATATCTGTCCACAGACATGTGGCATGTGACTTAATTGTGCCATTACGCATGCGTCAAAATTTAATTCGAATTAGCTTCACTTAGCGTTCACACGGAGCTAATGCGAAGTAATTTAATGTGCAGTTAATTAATTTGAATTAAACTAATTCGCATTAAATTCCCTGTGTGAACGCGGTTCAAATTTAATTCGCAGTAACTTATGTTTAATTCGAATTAAACTCTCCGTGTGAACATGGCATTATAATTGAAGGTAACTTTTACTGAGCAAAATGAAAATCTGGCGCAGAATTTTACTATAAAGAAGAGCCAAGTCTGCATTTCCTGGAATTGAATTGTAACAAAATTTTCAAATGAATAAACAAATAAATTTTTTGACTTATAGGCCCTAGATCTGTTGTATTCTGTATCATAAACAGACAATGCAAATTTTATAACACACTTTTTTAACGTATAATCATTATTCTATGCATTAAGTCAGGGATCTATATACTAACGGGATAGGCATCTCCTTCAGTACCATGTTTACTCGCCCAAAATGTCACACACAACACTACAAGTTTTTCAAACTATGTTTATTCTCAGTAAAAAATTTGTTTTCTGATAAATATAATCTGTTCTTTTTGTTTATTGGAATGGATATTTAATAAATTTTAAAGTATACGTTGTAAAATAATCTAAATGTAAAGCAAATTACCACCAAATTTTGCAATTCTCGGCCGATAAGGGGCATGTGTTGATTTAACATGTTAAAGTGATTCAAATTAAGAGATAATTATGGGATATTCCAAATTATTGACTCAATGAAATTGAGCCTATGATATTTTCTGAAAGAAGAACAGAGGTCAGTATATATATATATATATAATTATAATAGTAACTTGATCCGAAGAGCCGTATCATGTCAAGTTGACATGCATGGATCATCAGATCAAATGAGACGCGAAGTGTCGAGTTTGATCTGATGATCCGCGCCTGTCAACGAGACGTGATACGGGTCTCAGGATCAAGTTACTGTTATAATGATTAATTTATTATATACCTCTTTACAACTAGCAAAATATAATAAAAGGAAACTTTTAGGATCAATTACATAACTTTTATCCATTAAGCAAACCATTTTATCAAGGAACTTTTTGATCCGTGAGAATAAAAACAGCATTTATCTGTGTCAAATCAAAACCATATATGTTTGTATGTTAACATGTTAAGATTTGAATTGCCTTGGGTACGACTTGACTACGGCCATATGACATTGGGTGGCAGGGGATAGTTTCATACTTTAGTACGCGCTGTCAAATTTCTTTAAAAACTGAGGTATCCCATGATTGATGTGATATTTTATGTAGAAAAATGAATAGAATAATTATGGGATACATATGCATGTGCAATGTAGCAGAGCTTGCCGAGAAAAATGATGTGCATCATGTAGGTGTCACTATGATGCTTAGCATATATAGAGTTGTAAATGCGAAACTAAGACATTTGGTCAGTCGCAGAGGAATTTCAGCTGAAAAGCAGTGGTGTGCATCTCAGAGGGAAGGTGAATGGCCCCAGATCAATAGGTGAATTTTCATTAGGGCATGCATTGTTCTACAGAATACTGGGTGTTTTATCCTGCTCGCTCGGGAATGGGATGGGCTGTATAGGTGCGACAGTGGCCCAAATCTTGGAAAAACAAGCTAAAATCTTTGGAGACCTCCAAGGTTTTGTTTTGTAAAGTGGATGGATGTAGAAAGAATAATATTGCTTGAATTTCATATTTTTTCATTACATGATTATAATTTTATATGCTCTTAATTTATAGTTTTGTGCAAAAAAGTTAAAGTCCAGATTGATCTGTATTTAAATTTAAGTTTGTATATTTTTTCCAAAAAATATTTTTTGTGTAATTTTTAACATAAATGATGTTTAAACAAATTGGAAATACTGGGACTGATTCTAGAGTAATCCCGTAGTTACAATATGATTTCACACAAAGACACATTTAGCAGAAGACTTATACCTGGAAAATAAGATCTCAGAATCTGAATTGATAAATTTTTTTGTAATATTTTGTGTCTATAAGTAAGTCTTTTATTGAACCTATTTGACCAAAGTGAGCATCGTGGCCCATGGGCCTCTTGTTTGAAGACAGTTTTAAAAGGTGAAGTTGAATCTAAATGCTTTGATGTTTTAGACATCCAAACGGCTAGCTCAGATGTGGAAGTGGAATCGGACCCTTTTAGTCGGGAATTCAATGGGAAATTCATTTGACAGTGATGATGATGATGAGATTAATTCAGGTAATATATGTAAGTATAATTATACAAGTTGCACTACCCAGTCTGCTGTTAAGCTAATTTCATGATAATGTCATAAAGAGGGATTTAATATTTATCATGTTTATTCACATGTTTTTGGACACAAACTATTTTTTTTATGTAATGCCACCATCAGTATCAATACTTCATAAAGATAGGCTTCACCCAGTCTGACTATTAAGCTAGATTTATAATAAGGTTATGAACAAGGATATATTTTCATCAAGGAGCAGTGATCTAGCTTCCACTTGTTGCAGTGTCTCCTAAATTGTGCACATCATTGAAGAACCATTTATAAAATTTCAAATCAATCAGCCAGAACATTGTTATAGCAAACATGCTTAAAATGAATTTATATGCTTACATTGAAGTGATTTCCTTCCCCATAGATTTAAAAGTGTTGTAAATGGAAAGTTAATGTTTATAAAGAATTAAATATTTTGGTCCCTGGCTCTTTGCTATTGTACATGTAGGCATGTTTTACTGTATTATTCCCTGTTGTTTGAATAATTAATTTACCTTTATTTTGTGTGATGCCATTTTAACCATATCTACTAGTGTTGTCAACGAGTACCTGGTTAACCGGTTAATCGGCGAACAATGCGAGTATCAGATAGTAAAACTACTCAGTTACTCAGATATATAGACAAAAGTAGAAAAGAAATGTTATTTTGTTCAGAAATGAATGTACACCTCTACCATTTTATTTACCGTTATTTAACGTTAGACTTGATCTAGCGTTTCACAAACATGACCGATTTGTTTTGATAACACTTAGTTTTCACAGTTTATCTAATTGATGGCTTTGATTGCCAACCGGTATACAATGTAGAAAACCTGGGTTAATTATAATAAACTCACTTATACTGTGCTAGTCCGCAGTACAGGATTAATTTTAAACAAGATGCCTCCACAGCCATCAAAAGCATAGATTCCGAAATGTTTTAAAAGAAATACACAGAAACGAAACTAAAGTAACATTATATTTAGGACATCCGCAAAAATTGCCAACTATTACAGGATATTCAAGAACAAATTCATTTAGAAGCTTTATTTTGTCTTTTTGTAATTATAAAAATAAATAAATGAAATGCATCTACAGTGCATTTGCGTTTGATATTGGCCAGTATTTAAATGTTAAACATGGAAATTGTAATGACGTTACATATATTACAGTTATTATTGAATACATACCATGAGCAAGGATGTTTAAAGGTCTAAAAAAAAATCCATCCGTGTAACCGTTTACTTGATCGGAAAAGTAAGCGAGTAACCGGTTACTAAAAATTGTCCGATTTGACAACACTAATATCAATACATAATTATAAGATTGGATGCTGCTTGGTTCGGATGGCCAGAGTCATTTTTATGACATAATTGAAGACATATTACTGGCATTTTGTTTTTCTCACATTACTTGAATTCTTGGTTGTCTACAACAAAAATATTTAAATTGATATTTGTAACAGAGATTTAATTTGCAAATTTAAAAATAATGTTACAGTAGTTAAGAACTGGAATTAGTATAAAAGTAAGAAGAACTGGTATACATAGCTAACACAATGAAGCATCAGCAAAGTATTGAAATTATAAAGAATAAGAATCAGAGTGAAATGTATTGAGCATGGATATGAAAAGAAGTGACATACTGTTATGAATGAGATTGAGTGGCCTTTTGCTTTTACTTAAGGATTTTCCAAAACACTGATTGATTTGTATTTGAGAATAAATTGTAGTATTCTTATGAGATGCAAATCCAATTTAAAAGCTTCATCAAATTAAAGACAGACTGAATTATATGTCAAAAGAATGTGAAATGGCATTTCATTTTGAAATAAAACATGATTTCAACTCAGAAAAACCAATGGGGTACAAAGTAAACAAACTGGAGTGACATACCTAGATTCTCTCTAATGGTCTAATACATGTATGTTTAATTTGGGATGATTATTTTCATTCCTTCATTCCATAGCAACATTGATGTGAAACCAGCAATTTTTTTCATGCCACGTACAGTATCTGATAATCTCTGCATTAGTCACATACCTCAGTATTTGTGTCAACGTTTTGAGTTTCTATCTTTAACTTTAAAATTTATCACGCAGATGTAGTGAATTTCCGTTTCAGAGGACAGTAATTGCACACGTAGTGATTTTCCTTCCCAGAGTATATTATTTACACACACATGTAGTGAGTTTCCTTGCCAGAGTACATTATTTACACATATGTAGTGAGTTTCCTTGCCAGAGTATATTATTTACACACATGTAGTGAGTTTCCTTGTCTGTTTAAAATTATCACACACATGTAGTGAGTTTCCTTGCCAGAGTACATTATTTACACAGATGTAGTGAGTTTCCCTGCCAAAGTACATTATTTGCACACATGTAGTGAGTTTCCTTGCCAGGGTAAATTATTTACACTCATGTAGTGAGTTTCCTTGCCAGAGTACATTATTTACACATATGTAGTGAGTTTCCTTGCCAGAGTATATTATTTACACACATGTAGTGAGTTTCCTTGTCTGTTTAAAATTATCACACATATGTAGTGAGTTTCCTTGCCAGAGTACATTATTTGCACACATGTAGTTAGTTTCCTTGCCAGAGTACATTATTTACACACATGTAGTGAGTTTCCATGCCAGAGTACATTATTAACACACATGTAGTGAGTTTCCTTGCCAGAGTATATTATTTACACACATGTACAGTGTAGTGAGTTTCCATGCAAGAGTACATTATTAACACACATGTAGTGAGTTTCCTTGCCAGAGTATATTATTTACACACATGTAGTGAGTTTCCTTGCCAGAGTGCATTATTTACCGAAATGTAGTGAGTTTCCCTGTTTGTATACATTTATCACACAGATGTTGTGAGTTTCCTTGCATTGTTTATTTTCATTTTCGATCAATGTTTGGAATCAGCTTCTGTTTCAATGTTATCGATTATAATCAGACACCAGATTTCTACTTTACAAAGCATAATTTTGAAATTTTAAATTCAAAAGTAATGAGAATCTTTTATCAAGTATATTTTTAGAATCTACACACCTAGCTTAATTAAAAATCAAAACAAAAAATGGGGGTTAATGTGCTTCTCTTGGCGCTATTGAGCATTTAGTTTGACTTTTTTGCACTGTAAATACGTCTTACACATAAATCAATTTTTAAAGTTTTTCCTCCAATATTTTTTTCAAATAAATTATGGGAACAAACGCAGTCTTATTTCACCTTGAATAGGTGTATTAAAATTTGTGACAACAAAAAAATTTTCAAATTACTTCGCAAGTTCAATTATTTGACCTTTTTGCACTCAGAAAATATTTTTCTGGCATTAAAAAATTTAACAAGCAATAAAATATCTTAATGACATTTTACTGAATTTAAGAAGAATGGTTAAAAGTATTTTATATATTCAGAAAAGAAAATTAAAAGTGGGGGTCTGTGATGTTAATTTTTAGATATTACCAAAATAGTGCTAATTTTAAGCTTAATTTAAATTACAGCTATTTTTTCTGTATTTTCACAATATATTTGCTATACTTATCAAATATAATGATAGAATTCATGATATTTTATTTGATATACAATTTAGGACCAGCATAATACAATTCATGGCTCAGAATAACTCTGTGTGTAGCCTGCATGGAAAAATAGGAATCCAAACTTAACATACTTTAGATACTTTGAAAGAGAAAGAAATGATCATTTTCTTCTAAAAAAAACCTTCCGCCACAAAATATACTGTACGTGTACATAAATTGGCGTATTCAAAATTTAGCGAAATCACTGGGTTTTGAGGTGTTGGCGACATCATGAATTAGCGCTATAAATGTCTGTACCGTATATTGTATTTATAAATGATTTCTTAGTGGTATTCATGAATTAGCGCATTGTTGTTTGCGCCAAGGCCCCCCTAAAATATGAAGCCTGCTTTTTTAAGTACACATACAGTAGTTCCTCACTTAATGCTTTTGGTATGGAGTTTTAACTGAATATATTTTAATTGGTATTGTAGAATCCAAATTTATTGTAAGAACTAAAACATTATGCAAAAGTGGAAATACAGGTTAAGACAAAAATCTGCTCAAAAGCTCAGGAGCATTTTACTTCTTCTGGAGAACCACTTGGCAATTTTAATTTGTTCAAATGAATGGTGACCAACTTTTCAAGGAGAAATAGCTATGAAACATTGAAAATTTGATTCATATAAAAATCTCCTTTTTATAAACCATTGAAACTTATGTGGAAGTGTCCTGACATGGTATAGATTCAAGTTTGCATGTTCAAATCTGACTTACTGGGGTAGGTGGAACCAGTATGGAATCAATATTTTTTTTACATCAACATATAAAAAAAATGTCATAATAAGATGCAGTCATAACATGGTAGTTTGTTCAATTGTCTTTTTGTAATTAAAAATAAATAAATGAAGTGCATCTACAGTGGGGTAGGATAGGGCTACAATGAGGGATTGAAGTTTTTCATTGGAATGTATGTCACAACAGGACATTGATTAGTGATATTAATGTCCTAGCTGTTATCCTCAGAAAGTGCTGTACAATTTTTTTCCCAATCATGGTTCCTAGAGGTACCCGTAGAGTGGCACAACAATAGTGGATTAAAGTTTTTTGTGGGAATATAAAGGAAAAAATGTTTAAAATAAAAAAGAAATGGAACTTTTTTTAAATACAATGTATTTTGTGATAAAGAACAAACAGCAGCATTTTTTTTCTTCCATAACTGGTACCATTGAACAGAGCCATTCCACCAAAAATGTTAATTATTCCAAGTTTGAGAGCATTAATATTTTTCATCAAATTTTGAATTCATCTATTTTTATGAGGAAAAAATTGTAAAATGCCAAGTTCAAAATCTTTGGGATTGGTATTTTGACTACTTTGAATGGACATTCTTTAAATAGTGCACTGTGCACAAAGGATGACAGCACTTAAGGACATGCGAAATTTGCGACAAAATAAACTTTTAAAACAAGCATTTTTCTTTTCATTGCAAGAATGGTCAACATCCAATCTACAACTTTATGTAATTACGTTTAATAAAAGTGTGTATTTACGAAGTTGGAATCTGTTTTCAAAGGCAGGGGTCATCACAATTTCATGAATCTCCGTTCGATAATGATAATTTTTTACTGACTTTATACATAGTCAGCGCATGTTTGTCTATTGTTCTACGTTTAACAGTAGTTGTATATTTGCATAAAAAATAATGTGTCAAAAGGAGATTGATAGACAAACATGCGCTCATGGTTAAAAGGAGAAAAAACTGCTTCTTCTTACATTCACTCTCTGTGTTGTAACCAAGGATTGTGACAATGCTGAATATTATAATTCACCACGTGATTTCTTACCTCAGGTAACTTTGTGAATACTAAATTCCGTCACGTGACTTGTAAGGTAGCATGTTTGTGCTAACTAGGACATTGTGTTCGAACACGTTAAGTCATCTGGCATTGATATAAAGTCTGCTTTAATTATTGTTAATTTCGTTTTGAAACCTTTATCAGAAGTGTATTTGTGCCATACAGAATGGAGAGGGAGATTGGAAAGAGTGATCACGTTCTTTTTTCCAAACATGTCATTGTTATTTTGTTATTTATCAAGTCTGATTTTAGATCCATTCTTACAATGTTAGCTCCACCTCTCATGCATACCTAATGTTCAATCAAGGGCAGATAAGTGTACATTTACTATATTTGGAAAGCAGTAAGGACAAAAAACGTTGAATCATTTTATTGTATCACAGTCTAAAATCATTTTAAGATTTAAATTTGGTTCCAAATTGACAGGATTCTCTCAAAAACATACAAAAGTGAAATAAGGTTTAGATATAAAAGCAACAGAAGCAACCGAAAAAGACCCAAATATAGGCATTAAGTGCAGGCATCCTTTGGTTGAAAATGCACATTTAGTTAAGTATTTTAGTATATCCATATTTGTTCAACCTATATATACTGTCCAGTCTGTCCACTTTATTTTGCAAGTCATCTAAATATTTAAGTGGTAGCCAAAGAAATTCATTTTCAGGTGATTGATTAGTTTTTGTAGATGTGTATGAATTTTGATCTCTCCCCTGAAGCTAAGCTGAAGTGAAGTGATAATTCTGTTGAACATGAATTGTTAGATATCAAATGAATTCCAAATGTTTCCCTCAGCTTGTGATCCTCCTGGACATCCAAGTGTTTTCGACATTGATGAAGATTTTGTCACTCTCTCTCTCTTGGACCAAACCAAGAAATGATGGTTTTAAGAAGATTATAGGATATGTCATAGAATACGAAGACCCCACCACTGGAGGCAGGCTAATGACTACCCAGTAGATGAGTGTGTTTATGAGGGTGAGTAACTGATTACTTGTTGACATATGTATCTTTCTTATGAACTAGTAAGTGGATTTACATGTCCTTTTGTTGCATGTAATTAGTATATTATGGCTGAAAACTGTGAAAAGATGTTTTACAAAAGTGATTCTTGAAATTTGTTTTGTTTACAAAACTTGAATTTGAGAATTTTTTCATCAGTGTAGGGATTAAAAAAAGGACAAGGAATACAACTTCCACATACGGGCCAAGAATCTTTAAGGTTTTAGTGAGTCTAGTGATGTGATTGGTCCCATAACTCCCAAGCCCAAATACAGTAAGTATATTTGAAAAAAAATTATAACATTTTAAAAAACAATTACCATATTGTACTTTAATTTCAATTATTTTTTCTTTCACATTTTTAAACTTTTATTTTAACCAAGGTTTTGTCACCTGGTGTACCAGAGGCTGTCAACAATTCTATAACTTATCTGAAATGGGACCCACCTAAACATAATGGTGGCTGTAAAATTACAGGTACTAATTTAAAAGTAGAATAAAAAAAGGGAAATGTTGATCTCTGTTCAAAACCACATAAACACTGTAGCAGTTGATAATATTGATTATCTTTGTAGACTACCTTGTGGAAGAGAGGTTTAAGGGAGCAGAGATGTGGTGTAAGTGTAATGAGTACCCCTGCACTGACCCCTCTTTACTGTCACCGATCTTCCTCAGGACTCAGAGTGGGAGTTTAGAGTTACAGCTGTTAACTTTGCTGGAAACTGTGAGCATACAAAATCCAGGAGAAGATTGGTATGTTGTCAAGTTAATAAATGTATCGTACATTATTATGGTACTAGAAAAAAGATTTGGAGGTCAAATTAAACCATAATGTGTATTTTCTTCTCAAAGCCCATAATATTCTCACTTTACTGGTCAGGAGCTGAAATTTATGTGAAAGCTTCCTGATGTAATAAAGATTTTAAATTGTTCAAAAAATGGCCTTTGAGGTAGATGGGGCCACAATAGGGGATCAAAGATTTACCTTGAAATATATACATACATTTATGTACTGGTTAAAATCTTTACGAATCCTCTTAAGAACAACTGGACCACAAAAAGTATTTTTAAACCTTCTTGTAACTTCCTTAGGCCAAACAAAAAAAATATGTGTGGTTCCGGTTACACTTCCAAAAAAATTAGGGTAGGTAGGAAATTTTTTTTTTTTTTTTTTTTTTTTTTTTAACAAAATGATTTTCTTAATTTTTTCTAAATAATACCTATCACTGTTTTGAAAATGGCATTTAGATGTGGTGTGATAATATACTAGTCAATATTGGTAGGGGACACCTACATGCTAGCTTGCTTTGGATTTAACACTATTAAACACTTGCACTATGTTTTGCAAGGAGGCCGTCATTGCTGAAACTAAAGCTTAAACTGGAGCCATTGATGGAAATCGGGGAAAATTCCAGAAAATATATGAAAATTGCCCAAAAAAGTTTAGGGTCGAGGGTATAAAATAGGGAAGGTCGGGTAACCGGAACCACACATATTTTTTTATTTGGCATTTTTGTTCAAATCATGGCCAAAGGGAGGAAGGAAGTGGGGGGGGGGGGGAGGATAGTGGATTCAGAGACCCTTTAGAGTTAGGATAGGGTCATAATATGAGTTCACAATTTTGCATGGGAAAATTAAGGAGAAAAACTCCTGATAAACATTAAGAAAAGCTTCTTTTTAGTTACATGGGAAATGTTGTAGCCCATGGGACTCTTCTTTGCATGCATAGTAAAGGCAAAAAAAAATAGATAACCCATATTGTATTCATAAATTTGAATCTTACTTTTTAAGAAAAGTGTTATTTTCCAATTTAATATCTAATTTGAATGTTTTGACAGAGTCTTTTGCAATTGAGCAGGATGAGGAATCACACCAATCATTTGTAAATGAAAGCAGCAGTCATGATGTTGTCAATGAGAATGGTAATCTATATTTATGATGTTGTTTGGATGTTACAAATTAAAAGTTAACCCCATAAAAATGAACAGTCTTAGAATGATAATTTCTTTTTTTAGAATTTTAAATAGGATATGATACAGGGCCACTTTTAAGTGATGAAGCAGACAAGTATGATGATGGTAATGATGATGAATCATACCATCCTTCAAGCGATGAAAAAAGCTGTGATGAAGATACCATTAATGATCTTGGTAATAAAGCTGAAAACAGAACTTTCTTAAGCTCAAGTAAGCTTTTCTGATCAAAGTTTGTCCATTGTCCATCTCCAGCATCATTGTTGTTTCAAATTTTCAGCTCCTTCTCAAGAACCACTGCGTCAATTTCAACCAAACTTGCCACAAAGTGTTCTTGGGTGGGGGATTCAAGTTTGTTCACATGAAAGGCATCACCCTATTTTAAGGGGATATAATCAAAAATAAGTGTAAATTTGATGGCATCTTTAAAAAAATCTTCTCCAGAAACAATGGGCAGAGTTGTTTACTTGTACAGATTTTTAGTATTTCCCATGAATCTTCGAGTAAAAATGTGCTCTACAGATTCACGTTGAAAATATACAGATTTTCCCTAAAGACAGAAAAAAATCAGAGTCCTTCACGAAATTTGCCAATCAGTTTGATAAAGAAGCTTGTTGATTGAAGTGGTCTTATCAAAAATGATCTAAAAACAATATAATTACGGCAAATGTAAAATATGTAAGCAACAGTAGACAGCATACGGTGACATGCGTAGTTAGTGCTTAGTATTTGTATAACAAGGGGTTCTTCATATAAAAATGTCTAATAAGCTGAGTTGCATTTTTACTGACAAACTGCTCAAAATACTGACAACTTCTAGAATACTGACATCAGTTAGAAAAGTTAACAGGTCTGAGTGGGCCAGAAAAATTATTCTCCAGAGCAGCAAAACCATGACAAGTCATTAATACAGAAGCATACTCAGGTAATGTAGCTTGAAGTTTTATCAACTAATGACCCCTGGCAGAAGGGTGGGGACACAATGGGGCATAAGACTTTTACATGGAATTATATAGAAAATGTCTTTAAAGGCCTTCTTCTCAAGAACAGCAAAGCCATGATTTGTTATATTAATACAGGAGTATTTTTCAGGTAGTGTACATTCAAATTTATTCAAATCATAACATCAAGGGGTAGGATGGGAGAAGTAGTTTCAGGTTTGTTCAAATCATCACCCACAGGACATAGGGTGGCACCAATTGTATAAGTATAATTACTCAAACTTTTCAATACTGAACTGATTTCTGCTTTTCTCTTGCAAAAGGGCTCAGGTGTCATGGACCATGGGCCTCTTGTATAAGGTGTTATGTATTACATTGTACAATATGTAGATTGTTTAAAGTGAATTAAAATTGTGGCAGAATTTCTTTCTTGAATTTTAAGTATGATTGTTTCTTTATAACAGTTAAGGATTAATTCCATAAGTTGTTTTTTTTCTCCAGACATGATCACAGTCTGATAAATTGACAAAATTCATTTTAAATAAATTACTTTCCTTTGCATCACATTAACATGATGTTCATTAGCCAGCATTATAAATTATAAATATCTCCATAAGGAGCTTAAATAGAGTGTTTCAATCATGCTTAACAGATTGAAGTATGGAAAAACAACTTTCATATCTCTTCATTAGGTTTGAATATGTAACATAATAGGCAATCAAAGCTTTGCATAGGAATATATAGGGGGGAAATGTGCAGGGCCATTGTGACTTGGGTAAAAATAAAGATGAATCCCTTTTGTCAATACATGTACATATATAATAATTTCAGATATGCCCAGTAAGCCTTTCAAATCTGAAATGCAGCAGAAACAAGCTGCACTTGCAAGTGACAGTGAAAAGGACAGTGAATGTGAAGATGATCATGATGATGTCAGCAAAGTTTTACCACAGTCAGAGAAGCGAAAGACCAGTTTTTTAGAGGCCAAAAACATCGTCTTGGAACTATGATAATAAAAAACCTTCATGTCTCTTATGTGAGAAGTTTTGCCAGCAGGCCAATTGATGGTATGCATATCATACAAGCCCATAGCTCTTTAAGTACAAAAAATTGTGAGATTCATTTTTGCATATAGGTTCAGGATGGAGCTGAATATTGAAAAAATATATCCTATAATTTTTTTTTCATGGACATGTAGCAGACAGCTGTTTGCATAATTTAAGCAAGTAATTATTTTTTAACCAAAATTTGTGAAATTTATTGCTCATGACCCATTGTTCATGCAAGGTTTACCTATTTATATTGACACTGCAACAGGCCCATAGAACGCCCCCCCCCCCCCCACTTTTTCTGAGTATAGTATTTTGCTATAGTAAAGTATCCTTTATATCCTGGTTGCCCCCCCCCCCCCTTTTGTTGCAATAAGGTCGGTTCAGTAAATAATGGTTTTTTTTTGCTTGTCAGATATTTTTTGAAGTCCCCCTACTTTTGAAACCCTTGCTATGGGCTGTAAATTGAAGTTTTAAAAAATCCTTTACTGGTGAACATCTAGCAGGCAAACTAGCAGGCATAAAATTAAATATGAAGATTATGAATAGTAATCAAACTCAAAAGTCCGTTAGAATAACCTATATTCGTAGCAGAGCAAACATGGACCTCTAAAATTAATCTTAATTAATGCTTAGCCCTCTAATTGAAGGCTTCTTCATGTTTCAGGCCCATGAAAAGGCAGAGTTAGTCATAAATTAGAATGTTTTATACAGTATTAGCCAGTATACCTTATCCTCTTTACTTTTGAACTTCTAGGAGTTCAGCTGCATCAATATGATAATAAATATAGAATTCTTGTGAAAATTTACGATTTTTGTTACTTGGGTCTAGATTTCTAGATCCAGGCGGTTTTGAAATGACCACAGCCTGAGAAATTCATAATACTCAGGTAATAGTCAAAGCCTAGGGCCTTTTGTTGCATTTTAAACACAGGAAGTTATTAACTGCATGATATTTATATTTCTTGCTTGGTTGTCAGCTTTAAGCTTAAAGAGTTTTTTTTTTATTTCGAAACTTGTATGTTGTTTAATGCACTAAGAAAATGCCACTATATTTTGCACAAATACTGACTGATTGTCCTTGATTGTTCTGTGAAAATAAACTTATTTTGGATACCTTAAAAATATCTATTAACACTTGGCTTATACATGTGTATCTTATTTCATGTCAGCATTCTTTTTATGTACTTTTTTTTGTATAGTTGATGCAATTAAATTGTTTCATGCAAACAAACCGTCTTTTTTGTTTGATCTTTCAAAATGTTGTAAAACACTTGAGCAAAGGGATAAGAGAACTAAAGGGTGCTGTATGAACTGCATTTCGTAAAAAATCATGGTTTTAGAGACCAACATATTTGAGCAATGGGATTTTTAAATGCTGAATTGGAAAATGAAATGATGAATATGAAATGATAGAATGTTATGCATAAGAAAAACAATGAAGTGGACTTTCCCCACCAAAGTAATTTCAGTTTTTTGAAGTCATTAAATTGCAAGAATAAATAAGAGGGATCATTATTTTTCCCCTTATTTCAGGTCCGTAGAACGCGGAGGCCACCCCCCCCCCCCTTTTTCTGAATATACTATATTGCTATTGTAAATTTTCCTTTGAATGCTGGTTGTGGTGTCATCCACATAAAAAAGAACGAGATGTTATTACATGAACAGTAGTTAAGTAATTTGTAATCCTATATAATTCTTGTTAAGAAAAAAATAAACTCTTTAAGATCATAAAAAACATAATGATTGCATTTAAAATTGGGGAACGATTTTCAATTTCTACTTGTCTTACTCAATGCAACAGAAAAAAAAAACCAAAACGAATATTCTTGACGAAACAAGTCTTGAATCAACGCACACTCGGCAATTCATTGCCGTCAGCGACGTAAAAGCAGAGGGGAGGGGTAGCTTGGCCCCTCCTTTTTTCAAACTTAAAAGTTTTATTTTTAATTTACTGTGAAAGTGTTCATTAAAAGCCCCCCCCCCCCCCCCCATACACACACTGTTTTGTTATGTATTTAAATGCGGTCATTTTATTGTAAAGAAATATTTTGGAGGGTTCACAAAAGTTAAACCCACCAATAGGATTTTCGACTTTTTGAAGTTAACCTATTTTTCTTGCTTGCCGAAGATTTTCGGGTATTAAGTTGTATTTTCTGCCCCCCCCCCCCCCCCCCCCCCCCCCCCCGACTTTCAAAAACGATGTTACGTGCCTGGCCGTTAATACTTTTGAATCTTTGTCATGACTGTTAATTTATTCTTCTCATTTCATTTGCTTTATATTAATCTATATACAGATGCTGAAAGCCATTTTTTTATCTTTTAACTTTGTCGGATATCCTTTGACAATTTTTTTTTTCTATAGCATACAGATTTCATGCAGACATTGTCATGTATATGTGATAGAGTGATTTATTTTATGTATTAATTATTATATTTCAGGATTAAATTAATTCAGTTAAATTGTCATATTTATTTCTTTACAGCATTTCATTTATTGAATAAATCCACATGGAATTATTTACATCAATCTGTGTTTATTTAGTTATTTATAGATGTATGACATCACAGTGGTCATTTAAACCCCTGTCCCTTTCTATATATATCTTGTGTAGTGTCCAGGCCAACTTGGATTTCATTGGTTGGTTAGTTTCCCTCTCTTTTGGTTTTTACTTAGTTAATTACTTTTGTTGGAGATCTTGGTCTGAGTAGACATATTGGCTTTTTGATATTATGATGACTTATTTATGACAATGACCAAGACAGGACAGAATGTAAGTTTACTTTTACTAATTTCATTATCTCTACTTAATTGTTTATCTGCTAAATTACCAAATAATAATATTCTAATATAAAGTATGAAAGTTCAGTTTGTGTGATTATTTTATGACTTTGTAAATATTCAGAGTAATAAGTATATTTTATATCTGTGACAATAAGTGTGTAATATAGTAAAGTTATATTTATATTATTCATACACAGATCACTGAATAGAGTACAGCTGTGTTCAGCTATATATATATATTGGAGTTATGGCTCTATATCACATATAGGTATGATGTATATATATTTTGTATATTGTCAATATAATTATATTATTCTGGAAGAGTTCAGTATAATTTGATCTCATTGTTTTATCTATATATTCCAGAGTGTTCATACTTTGTACATATTATTGATTAAGAAAGATAACTCTTAATGTTTTATCTATGAGCACAATTAAAGGGAAATAACTCTTCATTTGACCGTGCTATCTGGCAAGTGATCTACATGTATGCTTTGTTATAAAATATTTATGATTGTTTATATATATTTCAGAGCTGTGATAATACTGATTATACTGAGAGTGAATATATTTATCAACAACGACAGCATGGCGTTTGTCATTATTCTCATATAAACGAACCCCATTTCAATGGCATCCACGGTGGGATTGGCTGACTGCCCATGCGAGACTGACCGTGAGGATCTCACGCCTAGGAGGATCTAGGATCCACCGACGTGGTGTATAGCGTGTACAGATAGAGACTGTGATTACTGCGTAATCCATTCAACGCTGGACTTTCAGTGAAAGTGACAAAATTGAACTTTGTGTGACTATATTTATTCATTGTGGTGTTTAGAAGCTTGCCAGCACGGTAAGGTATTTTTTATTGTTGTGCTCAGAACACGTGTATTTTGGACTGACCAGTCAGACAGGCATACTAGTGTTATACAGTAAATAGCCTGCTATATCCTTCCTGTATATAATATAAAAGTAAATATTATTTATTTTTGAGCAAAAGACAATTGTAGTGTGCAAGAAATTAATTCTATTAATCTAAGATACCTGTTTCCACCCTACATTAATCTCTTTTTCTCTTGATCAGCTGACCTTGACATTAGTGACCTACATTTAGACTTTCAGGTACAGGTTGTTTACAGGTGATTTGAGGTAGTGTCTAGTGAGTTAATTGTTTTGATCATATTTGTTGATCTAGTCAGTATTTAGTTGCTTTATCACCCCTATATCACCCCTGTAGTAAATATGTGAAATCTTTCATTTAATACTCAGATTGCTGTACTTTTAAGTACATATTCCTAAGGTCACATTACTTTGAGTAATCAGTGTTGGTGGTTTTCACCATTGTCCGTCATTTATTGTTTACCCATTGAATTCCTTTTCATTTTTTTTTTTTGCATTGCTGTTCTGTTTACTTTGATTTTGCGTGATTTTGTTTACATCGGGTATTTGACCCCTGATCGAGAGTTCGTCACGCTTGAGCGCACACGATGTACTGAAGAACAGAGTTATCTTCCTTGTGTAAGTTTGTAGTTAGAGTTATCCTTCATTACTTAAAACCACTGTAGTTATTTAGAATACAGTATTAGATTAAGGTTATATTTATTTAGGATTTAGTTGGTACATTCTTTGAACTTTGATATATATTTATCGAACTTATTAAGATATTTAATTTACTTATTTTCATTTCAGCTTATTTAGAAATTTAATATTAAATTTTGTTTTTCAGGTGTATAATACTTTTGCATTTCAGTGAAATTTAGTGTTACATAGAATTAAAATTTAATTAAGTAGATATTTAGAATTTAAGTTTAATTAGTTTTATTAATTAGTAAGATTTAATTATTCAACTTCATTTCGGACTCTTTGGATTGGATTACACATTGGATTCTTCAACTTCAGAGGATGTAGTTTACATAATTTAGATTTATTAAGATAATTAAGGTAGATTTAGTTACTAGGTACTTAGTATTTAGTAAATTAGAGAAGTTTATTCAGAAATCGATCAACAACAAATCATCATGTCAGTAGAAATTTCACAGGAGGAACTCAATCAAATAGCATCAGTTTTCAAAGAATTAAATGTAAAACCTAAAGCTGATACAGCACAGGATTTCAAACAATGGATGACTCAGTATGTTGCACAAATGAATGAGGAGGAA